TGGCTCTGCTTTATTGACCTCAGAGCACCCTTTGAAAAACAACAAACCACACACAATATGAACTGGAACTGGATCCAGGCTGGTGGCACCTGCCTGACTCCAGAAGAATCCCTCAACCAAGATGTATTTATACAAAATGCAGAGGAAAAAAATAAGGCAATGTGGTTCTGAGTCGAAGGTCTGCCGATCGGCAGCAGTCAGCGAAGGCACGGGCAGGTCATGCCTCTTTCTCGTAAGTGCGAGTGCAAACTACACTACCGGGGGTGAGTGTCAGGATAAGTTTCCAACACTTAGCTCCCACACAAGTGTGGTCTCTTGCCTGTCCCACTTCTGCAGGTCTCATCAAACTCCACCCCAAGCGTAAAGCTGATCTCTGTGTTCTTGAAGGTGCTCTGGGTCCTTAATATGATAGTATCCCTGTTCTTTTTGAGGGCTGTGGTAGGCTTGGTCATGTTGGCCACCTGCCTGGTAGCAAAACCCATCCCGATTGACTTCACGTAGTTATCGAAATTCTTGCTATCCACTAGCTTCCAGGTACCCAGGAAGGCGTCCACCATGGTGATGCTGGACTAGGTTGAGAAAGCAGGCGTGCAAGGACTCCACCCTGGCCCACCTTTTTTTTTTTTTTTTAAATAAAAACTAACCTATTTATGACTTTTTTAAAACATGGTTTCTCCTTTTTATTCCTTTATTCTGTTTTCCTGGGACTCCTTACCTGTGGTCTGAGTGAGCTTTGAGGAGACTCTTAGGCTTAATTACTTTACTGAGAGGCAAAAAAAAGGGTGAGCGTGAAAGTATAATGTTCATAAATACTATCAATTCTGCACCTGTAAAAATGTGTAATTCTTTTTTTTTTTTTTTTGAGACAGAGCCTCAAGCTGTCCCCCTGGGTAGAGTGCCGTGACATAACAGCTCACAGCAATCTCCAACTCCTGGGCTCAAGCGAGTTTCCTGCCTCCGCCTTCCAAGTAGCTGGGACCACAGGCGCCCGCCACAACACCTGGCCAGTTTTTGGTTGTAGCCGTCATTGTTGTTTTGGTGGGTCCGGGCTGGGGATTTGAACCCGCCACCTTGGTGTACGTGGCTGGCGCCTTAGCTGGTTGAGCTATAGGGGCCGAGCCAAAAATGTGTAATTCTTAAAAATATTTCAGATCTACACAATGCTTCCAACACAAGGGGCCCAGAGTCACCTAACTTCCTTCTTATCAATTCACTGCCTGTTAGTCCCTCTCTCCCCTCTCTCTCATTTTCCCCCTCTGAGATTGGCAGAGCTGGAAGGACCGTCTTACTTGGTACTTTGTATTTCCGGAGGCAGTAGGCAAACTCCAGGGGTCGTACTGCTTTCTGCCGGCTGTCCTGCATCTTCTCCAGCAGCAAAAGCAGCTGGAAAGGGACACTTCGCCTCTGCTCTTCATCTCCCCTCGGCACTGTTATCCTGCCACGTAAGAATAGCCAGAAACCACCTTACACCTATAGTTTTGGACGTTGGGCGCCCTGATAGAATCAGGTGTAACTGCTCAAATAGATCGGCCCCGCCCAGGAAGGGTCAGACTCATGTCCCTCCCAGGAAATAGGAATGCTGCCAATTGCTGCCCTCCCTGACCCTTTAAATTCCCATCCTCCATAACCCACATGTGGAATTCCTTTCTTGATTTCACCCGACCAGCGTCCACGTGGAAATAAAGACCACATTATTTCTACAGAACAGGGGATTCCATTTTCCTTTGTTTCACGCTTTGCAATAATCTTTCATCCTTGGGTCCAGAACCTTTCACGCACATTGACATTACACGAGAAAGTTTTAAAAATCTCCGTATCTCGTCTGGGTATGGTGGCTCACGCCTGTAATCCCAGCGCTCTGCGGGGCTGAGGCGGGTAGATTGCCCTGAGCTCAGAGGTCGGAGACCAGCCTGAGACAGAGTGAGACACCATCTCTACAAAGAAAAAGCCAGGTGTTGTGGCGGGCGCCTGTAGTCCCAGCTACTTAGGAGGCTGAGGCGAGTGAATCCTTTAAGCCCAAGAGTTGAAGGTTGCTGTGAGCTATGATGCGACAGCACTCTACCGAGGGCCACAAAGTGAGACTCTGTCTCAATAAAAATAAATAAAAAAAAATAAAAATCTCCATATCCAGGCCACTCCCCATACAAATGAAATCAGAATTCTGGGAATGGGACCCAATTATTAGAATTTTTTTAAAAAAAAAATACAGAGTCCCGGTATGTTGCCCTTGGTGGAGTGCTGTGCCGTCACAGCTCACAGCAACCTCAAACTCCTGGGCTTAGGCGATTCTCTTGCCTCAGCCTCCCAAGTAGCTGGGACTACAGGCGCCTGCCACAATGCCCGGCTCTTTTTTTTGGCTGGTGCCGGGTTTGAACCCACCACCTCCGGTATATGGGGCCGGCACCTACTCCTTTGAGCCACAGGTGCGCTGCACCCAGCTATTTTTTGTTGCAGTTGTCATTGTTGTTTTAACTGGACCGGGCTGGGATCAAACCCATCAACTTCGGTGTATGTGGCTGGCACCGTAACCACTGTACTACGGGTGCCGAGCCCCAATTATTAGAATTTTTAAGTTCCCCAGTTGATTTAAATGTGTAGCCAAAGGTGAGAACCACTGAGTGTCAGTGAATTAGCTGTATCGAGCGCCCTCTAGAGAGGAGGATTGGCATCACCCTGTTCACTGATCACCCTAGAATGAAGGGCAGAGGCACTAGGTCCTCAGTTCACAGCCAGGACAAGCAGCAAAATGTCCAGCTTTAACCACTCCAAACTGAAAAAGAAAATACTGAGATACGTCCGTCCTGGGGAAGAAAGGGCAACATGAAGGGATGTTAGCGCATTTTGGCCATGATTTATTTAAATATAGGCATCTCTCAATTTTCCCATATTGATGATGGGTAAAAGGAGAAAAGAATGAATGATAAACGGCAGTGCCTGTGGCTCAGTGGGTAGGGCGCCAGCCCTACATCCGGAGGGTAGCGGGTTCGAACCGGGCCCTGGCCAGCTAAAATAGCAATGAGAATTGCAACAAAAAATAGCTGGATGTTGTGGTGGGCGCCTATAGTCCCAGCTATTTGGGAGGCTGAGGCCAGAGAATTGCTTAAGCCTAAGAGTTGGAGGTTGCTATGAGCTGTGACACAGGGGCACTCTACCAAGGGCAAAAAAGTGAGACTCTGTCTCAAAAAGAAAAAAAAAATGAGCGATAAAATATTAGTCCTTAAAAATTAGTGATAAAGGGTGGCACCTGTGGCTCAAAAGGGTAGGCGCCTGCCCCATATGCCAGAGGTGGCGGGTTCAAACACAGCCCTGGCCAAAAAAAAAAAAAATTAGTGATAAATTGTGTGTGTCTCTGTGTATGTATTGGGGACCATTGACTACTTCTCTGATACTGGTTTCTTTTAGCCATATTGATAGCTGACAATCCTGGCTGCACTTTAAAAGTCACCTAAGGAACCTTTTAAAAAGTACCACTGCCTGCACCCCACCCTAGACCAACTGAAACCAAATAACTGGAGTGGGACCAGGTATTCATTCATATTTAAAACTTCTGAGGTGATTCTAATGCATAGTCCAGAATATTCAGGAAAAGATTTGAAAGAAAAGACCTCTAAAAGTCCAAGTCACTAAGAAGAGCTGAGTATTTATAAATATGAAATAATATTCATGCTCATCAGCTTGAATAATCGTCTTACCTCTTCAGTATCTTGGTGAAGTCCCTGTTCATTATGAATACCTGAATCAGGGAGTTAAGGCAGCATGTCTGTCCAATGTTGTGTAAACCAACCAGCCCTATAAACAGAAGACAAAAGAATACTGAGGGCAAGGCTTAGCTAATGAAGTGAACTAAAAATCAAATGTTTTTCTAGAATCTACTAAGGACATAAAATCTTAAAATCTCAGAGGTGTACAGAATTCACTAACAATCTTGCAAACAAACTAAAGGGGAGATATCAAGCATGAATCTTAAGAAAGTTAAATAACAAGAAAAGTTTTAATTGTCTATTAGCAAAAGAGAGATGTTACTGGAAAAAAAAAAATACCTTATTCATTGCCAAATGAGTAGCACAGAAATTGTCGGGAGAGAAAAGGAAAAGAAAGAATCATTACATAAAGCACAACTGGGAGAATTATGGGTTCCTCTCGGTCAAACTGTTCTCTACAAAGCTGAGTCAGAATGGGCATCTGTGGAATTCAGGAATAAGAGGAACTCCCCAGATAGCCTGTGATGGACTCCAGAGTAGAGGCCCCTGCCCAGGGTTCACCACAGATGGAAGAAATCAGAAAACAGCTCTAGGGAAGAATCGCGGAATACATACTCATCTTGAGAGGCTGAAAGCCAGAAGAAACTTATAAGAATAGAAGAAAAACAAAAGGTCACAGTTTTCTTACCCCTAGCAACCAACTTCCCCTTTTCCAACCTAGCCTAAAGCTCAGCAGACACCACAAGGGAGCAATTTAAGAGAGAGGGAATACCACTAAGCTCAAAATTCCTGGAGAAAGGGCTTTGGCTTATATAAAATAGGGCAATGGGAAAGTAAAAATCTGGGGGTGACTGTTGATCACAGATTTTTGCTCCCCAATTCAGCAGGAGGGCATTGCTCCTAGATAGACTTGTACAAAGGCAACAGTAAAGATGGGAACTGATGCTGGGTATTACCGTTTGCCAAGCATTGGTTTAAAGTAGTGTTCACAGATCATCCCATTGAATTCTCCCAACAACCCTCTGTGCTTGGTACTATTATAATCCTCATTTTAAAGATGCAGAGGCCAAGGCACAAGAGATGGGAACCACTACCATAAAGCTCTACTGCTTCAGAGCATAGCAGATGAACACAACATTTATATGCAGTCAGAAAGAGAAAAACGGAAGGATCTAATGACCGTGAGGGTAGTCCCAGGCGCTGAGATGTTCTCTCAGCTGCTCTTTGTCCCTCTTCATAGTGTTCTCTTCCTTCTCCTCAGCAGGTTCTGCCGGGAGCTGCTGAGACTCAGCCAGGGTCGACTGAAAGATTCCCCTGAGAAACCCAAACACGTTGCCCGTGGTGATCACTCCAAAATCCCAGGCCGAGGAGGCCTGGTCTGTGTTCAGGACTGTACGACTTCACTTCTAGGAAGAGCTCACATGAGCCAGGCACACAGGACCTCTGTGAAAAGACAACGCAGGTAGGCAAGGATCAGACAAGGGGGAAAATGTATTCATATAATTAGTTCTGGATTCCAAACAGCCAAGTCTTAGAGGGCAACAAACATTTGAAGAGATTGACCCAAAAAGCTCTAGGCTGGTAATGACAACTTGGCTAGATGTTCCCTACTGTGGTCATCACATTTCCATCCTAACACTGAACATCCTCTTGGGGAAGGAGAGGGAAGTAAGCACAGGACTTTATTTTGCAACACAGTACTGGGCACATCTCAGTAACACCCAGCACAAAGCAGAAGCCCTCAGCCTCCGATACCCATAGAGGGAGCTTCTTAGCTCCCAGACGGGAGCCTGCAGCCCTGGCAGGACAGACCCAGGGGCTGGCCTGTGTTATTGCTGGATGTCTACAGCAGTCTTGGGCCTAAAATAAGCCTCAGCAGTAGGCAGGCTGTAGCACCCACAGATACCAGGCATACCCCAGTACTGTGATTGTCTCAGTGACAGTGGGCTTTGGGTCTGACTCAATACTGTGTCAACCTTGGTGGCCAGGGCATTGCCTGTGTCACCCCTTGGGCCCTGGATAAACCTCAGCAGCAGGCCAGCCATAGCAGCCATGAGTTTTAGGCACTTTCCAGTGCTGTGCTGGTCTCAGCAGCCATGTGCTTTAGAAATGACCCAGTGCTGTGTCAGCCTTAGCAGCCAAAGGATTCCATTCACGGCGCTCTCGGGCTTAGGGCGCCCTCTAGAACTGCAACAGATGAAGCAGTCACGGACTTAGAGTTCTCACCAGTCAGTCTCTCCTTGATCTCTGGATAGGCTTACTGATGAAAGATGTTTCCAAACAAAGCCAGACTGTGAAGACTAGACTGCCTGGGCACTGCTCATGCCTGTAATCCTAGCAGTCTGGGAAGGTGAGGCAGGTGGATTGCTTGAGCTCAGGAGTTTGAGACCAGCCTGAGCAATAGCAAGACCCCATCTATACTAAAAATAGAAAAAAAGAATCAATGAGGCAAAAGGATCACTTGAGCCCAAGAGCTTGAGGTTGCTGTGAGCTATGATGCCATAGCACGCCACTTAGGACACCAGAGTGAGACTCTGTCTCAAAAAAAAAAAAAGGACTAGATTAAGATTGAGATCAATCAAAAAACAGACATAGGATTGAGATCAATAAAAAAAAAAAGACATCACCAAAGTGCCAGTGATTAACCTTAAAGATATGGGAGATGAAAAAACTGCCAGACAATAAATTTAAAATAGCTGTTTTAATGGAGCTTCATAAAATTCAAGGAAATATAAAGAAACAATTCAGAAATTTATCAAAAGAATTTAACAAGAAACTTAAAAAAATTCTGGAACTTAAAAAATAATGAAATAAATGCAAAATGAAACATACAACATCAACAGCAGAATTGATCAAACAGGGGAAAGAATCTGTGAACTCAAACATGGATTAGTTGAAAATATAAACTCAGAGGAGAAAAAAAAGAAAAAAAAGCTGTGGGATTTACAGCATAATATCTGAAAGCAAAAGTATACATCATTGGTGTTCAAGAGGCAATAGAAAAATAAAAAGGGGACAGAGCATATCTAAAGAAATCGTAATAACAGTAAGATTTCAAAACCTGGGGGGAAATACAAATATTCCAGGACCAAGAAAGTCAAAGGTCTCAATAACATTTACAATGTTAAGACAATGTAATCGAACTATCAAATAGACAATGTAATCAAACTATCAAAAAGATCAAAGACAAACATAGGATGCCGAAGCAGCAAAAAAAAAACCAAAAAAACAACAGCACGTATCATATAAGGGAGTACCAATGTGTTGATCGGCAGAATTCTCAGCATAATTTTACAGGCCAGGTGATTGGGATGATATATTCAAAGTGCTAAAGGGGAAAAAATGTTAACTAAGAATACTAAATCCAGAAAATCTGTCCAACAGAAATGAAAGACACATAAAAACTTCTCCACGCGAATAAAAGCTGAGGGAATTCATCACAACCACACTTGTCACATAAGAAATGCATGTGCTTCAAGATGAAAGAAAAGGGCCCTATAACTGTACTTATATCAGAAAAAAAAAAAAGTTAGGTTAAAAAAACTGTAAGAAAAACAGAGGTCACTACATATATAATAGTAAAGGACTCAATTAGGCCAAAGAACAATTGTAAATATGGAATACTCAACAGCAGAGCACTCAGTTATATAAAGCAACTATTATTAGCTATGAAGGGAGAGATAGACAATAATACAGTAGTAGCTGGAGAATTCAACACCCCTCTCTCAACACTGGACATATCATCCAGACAGAAAATCAGCAAAGAAACTTCAGATTTAAACTGCACTACAGACCAACAGATAGTCAATTAGACAGTCCATTAATCCTAGTAGTACAGAACATAGCATCTGACAGCTACAGGATAGAGATTCCTCTCATCAGCATATGAAACACTCTTCTGGAGAGAGCCCATGTTAGGTCACAAAACAAATCTCAACAAATTTGAAAACTGTAAAATAGGATTTTTTTCTAACCACAATGGAATAAAAATGGAAATCAAGAACAAGAAAAACTTTGGAAAATGTACAAATACATGGAAATGAAACATAATCCTAAATGACCATTGGGTCAATGAATAAATTAAGAAAAAATTTTAAATGTACTGAAACAAATAAGATTAGAAACACAACATACCAAAACTTAGGGGATACAGAAAAAGCAGTATAAATAGAGACGTTTATAGCAATAAATGCCTGTATCCAAAAATGAAAAGATATCAAATAAATACCATAATGATGTACTTCAAGAAACTCAAAAAGCACAAGCACCAATTTAATAATGAATTATGAACAATTATGAAAAGAAATTATGAAAAATCAAGGAAATGTGACAACACCAAAGAAACTAATAAAGCTTCAATCATAGACCTTAAGAACTGGAGGTCTGGCTCGGCGCCTATGGCTCAACGGCTAAGGCGCCAGCCACGTACACCTAAGGTGGCGGGTTCGAATCCCCAGCCCGGACCCGCCAAACAACAATGACGGCTGCAACCAAAAAATAGC